TGTGTTGGAGAACGACGTACTATAACAAAAACGACGAGACTTCACTGGCAGTTGCGGAGGGGACGGCCGCCATCTCGCAGTAGCATGTGTGGTAGTTGAGGCAAACAATTATCCATCGGTTGCCCTTAGCCAATTTTGGAAAGGGGCCCAGAAAATCAATCCCCACTTGTTCGAAAGGTACGCTTGGAGTAGGAATCGGCTGTAAAAGATCAGCTGGACCAGTTGATCGACGTTTGTGACGCTGACATTGCATGCAGCTTGCCACATAACTCTCAACGTACTTTTGCATACCAGGCCAATAAAAGCGCTCTTTAGTCCGGTGAAGTGTCCACGCCAAACCTAAATGTCCAGATGTAGGGTCGTCGTGCATGACACTCATAATAAGTGTTCGCAGGCTCTCCGAGAGCACTAGAAGGAAACGCGCGCAACTGCTGGAGAGGTTCCTTTTGAACAACAGTCCATCACGCATACAGAAACGGCGTGCACTAGTGGAAGCGGATGCAGCGGCGAATAATGGTGCTAGTTTAGCGTCCTCCCACTGCTCTGCTCTGAAACTGGGATAGTCCGGGAACGTAGGCGACACAGACGCTACAAGCTGGTCAAGGTCTTCAGATTCACAGTCTGTTGTGCTAAGTGGCATACGTGAAAGACAGTCCGCATCAGCATGTCGACAACCACTCTTGTAAGCGACCGTAAAACTGTATTCTTGTAGCCGGAGTTCCCAGCGCGCAAAGCAGCCACAAGGGTCACAGAGGTTGACAAGCCAACACGAGTGGTGGTCGGTTACGACTGTGAATGGGCGTCCGTACAGGTACGACCTAAACCGCTGAATTGCAAATAATACCGCCAGGCATTCTCGTTCCGTAACAAAGTAGTTTTGTTCCGGCCTGCTTAGGGAGCGACTTGCGTATGGGATGACGTGTTCGCGGTCGCCGTAACGTTGTACTAGGACGGCTCCAATATCTATGCCGCTAGCATCGGTATGAAGCTCTGTCGGAGCAGAAAGACTGAAGTGCTCAAGGATGGGTCGTGACGTCAGCAAAAACTTCAATTGACGGAATGAAGAATCGCACTCCGGAGTCCACTCAAAGGACTTGTCCTTTCATAAGAGGCATGCGAGAGGATACGCAACGTCGGCAAACTTTGGAATAAAGCGGCGGAAGTACGAACAAAGCCCCAGGAAACTACGAAGCTCCTTGACGGAACGCGGCGCATTGAACGCCTCAACTGCTGCTGTCTTCTGGGGGTCAGGGCGGATGCTATCCTTGTCAAAGAGATGCCCGAGCACAAGCGCCTGGCGGTCTTCTAAGTGGCATTTCTTCGAGTTTAAAATTAGGCCAGCATTTCGGATATTGTTCAAAGCAGTATCCAGACGAGAGTTGTGTTCTTCACTGAACGTGCGGCCAAAGATAAAGATGTCGTCGAGGTAGCACATGCAGATGTTCCACTTCAAGCCACGCAGAATGGTGTCCATAAACCTCTCGAACGTTGCCGGTGCATTGCACAGTCCAAATGGCATCGTGTTGAATTCATAAAGCCCATCAGGGGTTACAAAGGCAGTCTTTTCCTTGTCCTCTGGGTGCATTGGAATTTGCCAATAACCGGATCGTAAGTCTACAGAGGAAAAATAAGAGGCCAAATGTAAGCAGTCTATTGCGTCCTCTATACGGGGCAGCGGGTATACGTTCTTTTTAGTCGCGGCATTCAGTCGGCGATAGTCGACGCAAAATCTCCAAGATCCATCTTTCTTCTTAACAAGGATTACCGGTGCTGCCCATGGACTGGCCGACTCTTGTACCACTCCCTTTTGCATCATTTCCTGTACTTGGTCGTTGATAATTTGTCTTTCTGACGGGAAACACGATATGGTTTTTGGCGAATCGGACTTGCCGCGCCAGTGTTGATGGTATGGCGCGTTCGAGACAGGGGAATAGGGATTACTTTGCCGTTCTGCGCAAAGTCAAATACCGAAACGTGCTTCAACAGCACATTCATTAAAGTTCGGCGCTCGCTTGAGCTAAGAGACTTGTTTATCATTGCCATAAGCGCCCCGCCCAAATTATGACAACCAGTTCCGTCACGTTCTTCCGGCACGTCTGTGAGCTTGACCACTGATAAGGTCGCGTGTTCTTTGCTGACCGAAGCTAATTTCAAACCATTGGGTAGTGTCACGGGCTCAGAGAAACAGTTAACAGTCCATAGGCCAGTTCGTCCGCCATATATCGACACCGCACAATGGGGAACCCACACATTCTTCTTCGGGCTCAGAGAAACAGTTAACAGTCCATAGGCCAGTTCGTCCGCCATATATCGACACCGCACAATGGGGAACCCACACATTCTTCTTCACACAGTTTATGTGCATTGGTTCTACGCTCGCATCGAAGCTGTCAGAATCCGCGCCGCGACAAACAACAGGAACACGTACGGTAGACAACGCAGGTATGAACGTATCGCCACAGACACACAGCGTAGTTTGATCATTCGCTGGAGTTTCTAGAAGTTCTGACGGCATCTGGCCACTCACAAAAACTTTCTCCGTGCGACAGTCTACAGTGGCACCACATTCTCGCAAGAACTCCATACTGAGAATGACATCATGTGTCGACCAAGGAATAATCGCAAACTCTGTCGTTATCATAAGGCCTCCCAAAAATACTTCAGCACAACACACAACAATAGGGCGCAACGGCTCTCCACTCACTCCACAAAACGTCGAAGTTTCATCCCAGGTAAAAACAACTTTCCGCCCTAACACGTCTTTAAAGGAAGCACTCATCACGGAAATCGTTGCACCTGTGTCCACCAAAGCCATCACAGGCAATGATCCACCAAAACACGCACTTTGTTTTTAAACATACACACAGGAGGTATTTCTGTCAGTAGCACGTTTTCAGCGACCTCACCCCCATTGGTCGCGCTGGCTAGTTTTCCGGTGGCGAAGAGGGCGCTTTGCGACGCAGCGGTGAAGGAGAACGATGAGCACGAGGTCGCGGTGGGGGCATTGAACTCCTGTCAGATGCCAAGGAGTGGTTGCGGAAATTGCTGGGCCAATAGTTGTCATCAAGTGGTATGTGGGCCGGTCGCCGTACACCATGAGGCTGTTCGAAGGGTCGTGAAAAGTCTGATGGTTGGCGATACCGAGGAGTCACCCGACGGTTGCAAAATCGTGATATATGGCCTGGCACACCGCAGGATTAGCACACCGGCCGAGGTCGAAACGTTGGTTGCTCATCGTTGAATCGAGCGTCATCATTTGTTCATGTGTAACGGATGTACCGGTCAGGTATGTCTAAACGAGACGTCGGGTGTCGGGTGGGAGGCATGCGCCGAGAGCGTCGGTCATACCGCGACGCGGGAGATCTGGTTGTCATCCTTTACTGTGGGGCTGGGCTGTACTCCACAATTGCCGCGCTCACCGTTGGTTGCCACGGGATCGAAGGAGGCACATCCATAGCCTCACGTGGCAGACAACTCGCGATGGTCAGCTGTCGAACACGACATTTCTCGGTGGCTATAGATTTTCTACATTAGGGGAATATGATTACCGCGTTTTGACTGTGAGATTAATTTGGCGCAATGACAGAAAAAAATAAAAAAAAAACGGGGGGGGGGGAGAAATAATAGAATTGCCAGAGCGGGGGCCTCACGCGCACTTCTTTCTCTTTTGTGGCGTGAGCCTTTGCCTTGGCATAGAAGCCACTACTAGAAGTAGGTGGCAATATACATATGCTGGTTTCGGGATGCTAAACCTTGCATATCAATCAACCTGCGCTCCCACAGCATACCTGGCATCATGGCATGCGGAGAAGTCAGTTAATTATTAGCTAGTTTAACAACATAAAATGAACATCATTGTACTGAGAACTGAACTCAAACCTCATAACAGCAAAGTTCGATCTTACGCGAAAATAGGTTCGTTATATCGAAATATTCGTTATAAAGGTATATTCCCGACTATTGCAAGACTTTCGTTTACTTCGTTATAAACGATATTTCTTTATACGTGGCTTTGTTATATCCTGGTTTCAGTCTACACATTGTCACTGGCGTGCATATACAAAAGTATTTCGTTGAACAATTGAACTCAAGTGTATCTATGCCCAGTAAATACATCACCAGACAGTGCAAACTTAGAGTGGGCATCCCATATCGCACACCAGAAAACATGAAGTCACCCCCTACGTGGGCCCTGCAGTCCCGGCGCCAGGCAAAGCTCAGTGTAAACACCACGCACCCCGGCGCAGCAGGAACAAAGGTTCCTCTCTTGCAATTGACCCCGAAGAAATCACGGGAGAAGCCGCAATATTTCGACGAAGCTGACCTAGAGCTCGAGGCAGTCGAGACTTGGTTCGGGCGAAGGCAAGATGTGCATGGACTCCTGGACAGAACCCACATCGGCTACGCTCTAGGGCCTGGTGTCAATTGCTACTGCGGACCCAAACTTCCACCAAGAAAAGTACTATATTCGGACTATGTTTTTTAACGTGCAGCGAAGTTAGGTTACTATTTGGACTCCTAATTAGCAATGTTGAATTCGAAGCAGCCACTACAGTTATAACATTGTTGTCAGTATCTTTTCATGTGTATTTCATTTTCATGTTTTATTGAAAGTAAATAGTTAAAGTGAAGTGCGTCTGTGTGCATCCCTCTGGATGCCATTACTTTATGGACGGTGACACACTGAACATGACCGTTACATACACACACCAACAACTAAATAACACATATTGTGTAATGTGCAGTTTGTATGCTTTTTAAATGTATATTGTACCGGTTGAGTATTTCATTCGAGTTCCAACTTAAAAATTTAGTTTTTTTATTGTGAAGTAATGAATTTTTTTTATTGTGAAGCATGAAGTAATTAATTTTGCTTGTTAGGTGCAGTTTTTTAGCCATGTATACCATATCAGTATATTCAGTTGGGCCTAAGGCACAATCAAGCTAGTTTTGTAGCTTGTGGCTTGTGGTCCTTTTCCCCTTTTTTTGTATAGCAATAATGTAGACAACTTTATCATTTATTCATTTATAGTTAAACAGTTCAGTTGTGGTGGCTTAGCCCTTTGAGACACTTCATACAGAACTATGTACACTTGTTCTTGCTAGGTATGTTGACAAATGGCTAAGAGAACACATATATGCATCATTAAACACCATTTTGCAGTGTTCCAGTTACAATGTAAAGGCCTTGCTGAAGGCCCTACTATTTCTGACAAGCAGCGTCTGAAGTGAAATTTCTCATTCTCAAAATGAACAAAGAAGCTGAAAATGAATAGGCACTGTATTCCTAGCTTACAATTTCTTATATTTATCTAAAACAGCAGGACCGGACAATAAATATTGTATATTTAATATTTATTGTTACAAGACATATAAATAATGTTTTCGTAGCAATGAAATGTTGAAAGCCTCGAAATTATGCACACATTTGACTATATACAGGTTGTTTTTACATGCAACATCTGAAGGGTTGATAAGAGGTCTGACAACCTCGTTAATGTACCAAAATTTTAAAAACCCATCAAGCTGGTCATGTTTGCAGCCTCCCGGGGTACCAGGATGACAAAACTAGATCTATACAGCGTGAAACTCTATACAATGCAAACAGAGTTGACAAGGAGTAGTATATAGATTGTGCCAGCCCATTTGTCCACAATAAAAAATTTTGGTGCAATAATTTACTGCACGGTCATAAGTACGAGCCTACATGCATGCAGCAGCTCTTGTAAAAAGGAAAAAAAAGCAGAGCACTAAAACTGACAACCTCTGCCAACTGAAAGAGCAGGTTAATAGGTTTTCACATTGCCAGAGTTGGTGCAGGCCCTCTCCTGCTGCCTTTTGTTGGCTGGTCGAAGTAAAATGGTTCGCACTATTTAAAACAGTTGTCAAAAACAGTGTCGCTTGTCAAAAGTGAAGACACAGAGACTGCCGTCAGACTCGACAGTTGTCTTGCTCAGCTATTGGAAAGGACGGCACCCTCGTCCAAGGAAGCCTGCAGAATGCTTCGCTCGTGTTTCATGAACGAAAGCAGAGAATCTGAAAGCGGCTGTTCGGACTGTCGATCCTGCGAGAGAAAAGCCAAAGAGATAAGAGTACTGCTGAACATCTAGATATAGTACAAAGAGTCATCAGTAAATAACTTGAACACCTCTATTATCAACATCACTCTGGATTTAAAGGGGCCCTGCAATGTTCCTTGTTCTGCCTGCATTCTGAAGCACTGGGCTGTGTGTTGTGCCGAATACAGAGATGAACACAACAAGAAATACAGAAGCTGGAGCAAGGTGACAGAAGTTATTCACCTTAAAACTTCAAAACCCTTGCAGACGACAAGAAAAAAACGTGCCCATTGATGTCGAAGGTAGGTTTCAACTGTAGGCACACTGGTGTCTCATACCCATTTGTCTCTTGTATCAGTGTCTCTTATAAAGGGGTTCGACTGTATTTAACAATCAGAAGTCTTCTGTATTCTGAGGTAATATAAAGAATGCTTCTTAAAGTTTTAACTCACAAAAAGTGTGGCCTAGCTAGGTTTGTATCACTATTACTCAACTGTTTCGTTACCACGCCTATTCAAATCTATCACTAGTGATCGACACTTTTGGGTCATCGATTTTGGCATGTAAAATTTGTTTCTCATGCACCCAGCGCTTTCTAGTAGTTAGTCCAGCCACTTTCAGAATCAATTAGAATTCCTGTTTTGGCAACGTAGTGATTTTTGACCGACCTTTGCGCGAACCAATGCATGTGTATTGTTAAAAAAGTGCACTAGGCTGGGGAACTTGATGGAAGTGCGTGCCCCTCATGATTATGCTACAGTCAACGTTTCTACAACCAGGTAAGTTCTAAGAGACAAACTACCCGAGTCAGACTACCCGTCACACGGCGCAAGGACAGCTTCCGGTTTGGTGGCGCTGGCGGCGCAACAAGCTCCCGCTAGCATACGAAAACGCGTAGTCGTCGTGGCAAGACGCCGTGATGGCCATCCTTAAAAAGCTTTGCTAACTATATAATAATGGGATTTGCTGTTGTGGTGCAACAGAAACTTAATACTGCGCTATATTTAGCAGCATAAGGCATATACATTATAATTATGGCTTTCTGAACTGCCCACGATAAACGATGCTTCATATATATTTCAACATGCTCTGTAGGAACATTTCGTGATGACGCATAGTAGTCTTCCGGTAGAGGCCTGTTTGACGACGTTCGGAGGTCTGCAACGGCACGTCGAGGTGATGACATCCGGTGGTGGCCGTGACCCGTCAGGGAAAATGGAAGCCGCAGGGGGAAATCTACAAATTCTGTGCGCAGTTGGTTTTCGACGTGGCGCTCTCCCATCTAGTAGGGAGGTGGCTCAGGGCACGCGGCGAACGAGCATTGGTGGTGAGCGTCACCTGTTCGAAGCCGTACGAGCTCTTCGCGAACTACCCGACGTACGAGGAAGGGAACGTCTTTGCAGGCAGCAACATTCATACTTGCAGCAGTGGGTACATTGTCCAAGTGCCTGAACTTGGGTAAAACTCTCCGGCTCTTCAACGCCTTGAAAGTGCGACACTGCTGCCTGAAAAAAGGAGTGTTCAAGTTTTCTTTCGTTATGAGAAAATTGTACATGTCCTCGGTGATGCCTTTTAACAAATGACCGACTTTGTCTTCGTCAGACATATTTGCGTTGACCATCCCGCAAAGCTTCCATACCTCTGCAATGTAGGTTGTGCACATTTCACCGGGCAAGTGAGCCCTACGTTACAGCGTTTGCTCAGCTTTATTTTTCATAGAACTCGTGTCCCTAAAGCAGGCCTTCTGTTCCTCAACAAATATATTCCAAGTGGTGAGGACATGTTCATGGTTCTCAAACAAAATCAAAGCAGTCCCAGCAAGGAAGAATACTACGTTCACAAGCTTCGCCGGCGCGCCCCATCCGTAGTAGCAGTTCACTCTGTCGTAGTGTTTTTGCCAAGCATCCACGTCTTCGTCAGTTTTACCTGAAAAATATCCGTGGTTCAAGTGCTCAGTAGTCTGGTTGTCAAGGTCTACGGCCACCTTGAGCCATGTTGGTGGCACTGGTGAATGCAGCAGCGTAGTACGTCAACGGGATTGCTCTGTCCTAATTCATGCTGATGTTGTCCAGGAGTAGGACAGCTGTCTGCTCCTTCGAAGAACTTCTGCTGCGGGGTGCAGGACCCAGCACCTCCACCAAAGCTGTTACGGATGTGGTGGGTCTATTTAGACTGAAAATGCTAGCGCTCAACCGTCACTGCCGAATCACCATCGCTCGAGACCGTCCTACCTTTTTTTCTCTCTCGCTCTTTCAATCCCCGTTACAATATATGTGTGTGTATATATAAATATATATAAAAAGAAGCGTAATTCACACAAAGAACGTTTCACCACACATTAGACGAACGTTTCGGCCGTGGGACCTGCCTTCGTCTGGGGATTGCCGGTCCAACGGCCGAAACGTTCGTCTAATGTGTGCTGAAACGTTTGTTGTGTGAATTACGCTTCTTTTTACACTATCAGAGCCGGCGTGATGCTTCTTATAGCGCGATACTTCTTATAGCGTGATACTTCTTATACTTCTCTGTGCATCGTCTCTGTGTGCCACCCCCCTACCCACCCACCCATCCATGTAGCCGCCTATGACTTTTTAGCTCTACTGGCCTTTTCAATAATGATATCGATACCAAACTTGGTATGGCATAACATGACTGTATGAAGAACATAACTGACTAGTCATAACATGAAAATCATGACATGTATGTCATCGATGTCATGATTTACATTTCATGGTCCTGCAGCTCTTGAGGTGGTTTTGTTGACATGGCATGTTGCAAAACTGGTACGGTATGACATGATTGCATGGCGAATACAAGCGACAGACCCTACCATGAAAATCATGACATGTATGTCATGGCGATGGCGTAGTGGTTAGAGCATCCGCCTCGCATGCAAATGGTCTGTGGTTCAAATCCCGGTGCCGTGCAGTTCCCAACCGGAAAAAAATCCGCGTGTTGATGAAACTGCATTAAGAGGCCTGGGGTGCGGCCTCACCGGTAACTACCGCCGGGAACGCACTCCCTCACCAGAGAAGGATTGGCCACCCTGGTGCAGTATCTGGTCACTAGCTCCCACATGCATATGTCCAATAACTCACGGCCCTCAGTCCCCAGCAGCTGCGAAGCAACTGACCACGGCGGCGGTCAGATCTGCAACGCAGCAGAGGGTGCTAAGAATCTCCGGACTACAGGCCGCCATTGGAACCTGAACTTGGCAACGTTTAACGCTATAACCTTATCTAGTGAGGGAAGTCTAGCTGTACTAGTCGAGGAGCTAGAGGGTGTTAAATGGGATATAATAGGTCTCAGTGAGGTTGGGAGGACAGATGATGCCTATACTGTGCTACAGAATGGGCACGTCCTTTGCTATCAGGGCTTGGCAGACAGAAGAGAACTGGGAGTGGGGTTCCTAATTCACAGAAACATAGCTGGCAACATAGAGGAATACTATAGCTATAATGAAAGGGTAATAGGTATTGTATTTAAACTGAATAAAAGATACAAGATGAACGTAGTACAGGCTTACGCGCCTACATCCAGCCATGATGACGCTTCAGTTGAAAGCTTCTATGAAGACGTGGAATCGGCAATGAGTAAGGTAAAAACACGGTATACTGTAGTGATGGGCGACTTTAATGCAAAGGTAGGGAAGAAGCAGGCTGGAGACCAGGCAGTAGGAGATTATGGCATCGGTACTAGAAACACCAGAGGTGAGCTACTAGTAGAATTCGCAGAACGCAATAATTTACGGATTTTGAATACCTTCTACCGAAAATGAGAAAACCGCAAATGGACATGGAGGAGCCCTAATGGCGAAAATAGGAACGAAATAGACTTTGTAATGACTGCACACCCAGGAATCGTGCAGGATGTGGAAGTGGTTGGCAAGGTACGATGCAGTGACCATAAAATGGTACGGTCTCGAATTCGCCTAGACTTGAAGAAGGAACGACAGGAACTGATACGCAAGAAGCCAATAAATGAGCTAGCGCTGAGAGGGAAAGTACAGGAATTCAGAGTGTCGCTGCAGAACAGGTACTCGGTTCTTAGTGAGGAAACCAACCTTAGCATAGATACAAAGAATGATAATCTGACGAGTATCATTACGGAGTGTGCAGTGGAAGTTGGAGGCAGGGTAGTTAGACAGGACACTGGTAAGCTTTCCCAGGAAACGAAGAATGTCATTAAGAAGCGTCAAATCTTGAAAGTCTCAAATACAACAGACAAAATAGAACTGGCAGAGCTTTCGAAGTTGATTAATAGGCGTAAGGTATCTGATGTAAGAAGGTATAACATGGAGAGAATTGAACACGCTCTGAAAAACCGAGGAAGCGTCAAAGCAGTGAAGAGGAAACTTGGGATAGGCGAAAATCAGATGTATGCACTAAGAGACAAAGAAGGCAAAATAACTACCAATATGGATAAGATAGTTAAATTAGCGGAGGAGTTCTACAGAGACCTGTACAGTAGCCGGGTGTAAGGAAAGGACTTAAAGACGCCGAGGAACGTCAAACCAAAACTGAAGAAGACAAGCGGAGGGCAGGTGGCACGAAGGCGACAACAAGAAATGAAGAAGAAGAGAAGAAGAAGGCACATGCGATTACGAGGCAACTGTGCGCCAATCGGCTGATGACCAGTGGTGGCCCACAGAGGTGGCGTGCCACGATTGGGCCACGTACGACCATTACGTGGCAGTAAGCTGTGTGGCTGGGGACGAGCCAGAGCAGCGGCAGACGGGAGACAGCGGGCCGAAGCGTCGGACGCAGGCGATCCAGGTTCCGGCCGGGGGAACGCGGCCGTCCACGCTACTGCCGTCGAACTACCAGCTGGGGTGGCGTTGCCGGCACGAGTACTGCATCTCGGGGCGCGGCCTGGCCTGCTGTTCTCTTCCTTGTCGAGGGCATCGCGGATCTCGGCGAGGCGTCTCCACGGTCAGCCGTTCGACACAGCGATGAACGTGGCCTGGCTAACGGTCACGGTTGCGCCGAGCATCGCGTCTCGACGC